TTGACTGTGCGACCCTATTTTCTCCAGATGGTTACGGGCTGCTAGTATCACACTAATTATTGAACTGTAAATTGCCTAAGTTTGTCCATAGGAAATATGTACAGTATCTCTAGTTAATATTGATGTCGGGACTCTACTACTGCAAATCGCCCAGCGAAAAACTACCAAAACCGTGAAAAAAGGAGCAGGGGGTTAGACACGAAAATGAACGAATTATATATTATTATTTATTATTATTATCATATTCATTTATAAGAGCTTTTGTTGGGCATATAGACAGGGGGAACTCGTATACAGGGGGGGGGGGGTTATTCAAATGTTACATATCAAAATCTAAGTTAGCCCTTTAGAAATACAATAAAACCTATTTGAGTGTAATAGCTTTTGTAGTTTTTATGTTACATTAAATCAAACAGCACAAGTTTTTTGGGACACCCGGGATACATTCCTACCAGTCTTCCTTTGTGAAGCGATGACTGGGCTAAGAATATTTCAATATGTCATTGCTGTTAAAATCACTTAATTCATCACTAATAATACTAAAGCTTGTGTTGCTGATAATATACCATCCATGCAGCGTCTATTTTTGACAAAATTCTTGAACAAAGCATATTTCAATGTTTGCAATGTGACCATTGCATATGGCTGTCAAAAAACGTCAAGATTTAGATTATTGTTTTGTAAAACATTGTGCGACTCGCGCCCAAGTATTGTTGTGGATTTAGAACTCTTTTTATGCTTTAACCCATTGAGTGGCAGCACTGTCCACTTGACAAGTAAAATCCTGTGGTGTTAGAGTAAAATACTAAAGTAGGGCAGGGTCTTAGCTAGAGGGCCGTGTTGGCCGTGTTATCGCGGCCAAAAGTGGAAAAACACGGCTAGATAAAATGAACGCGGCTTCATTATTTATATAAGACCGCGTGTAGGTTCATAAAATAAGGTGCAACAGAACTTACAACAGACAGAATTTCTTCCAATTTACGTTGTAAGAAAGCTTGTAAAATCTACTGTTGTTGTTGAAATTGGCAAAAGTGATCCGTGATGTTTTAATGTTTTGATGGATAATGGGAACTGTATGGTGTTAAAATGGTTTTAAATACCCCCAAGAGTTGCTGAAATAACTTAATATTTTAATGTCAGCGCGCAATATAAGCGTATGCTCGCCTTGTATTTGGTTGCAAAGCATAGAACAACCACAGGTATTGTCTGTTGTTGGCGAGCATAACTAGAACCGTGAATTTGGTTATTCAAGGTAATTGACATGTGCACACCCTGGTCATTAGAAACACGCCCAAGATCTAAAATCCTAGCTAAGACCCTGAAGTAGGGTGCATCAGGGTGTAATGCAATTTAAAGGGTTAACCAAAACAAAGTTCATACATTTTGTTTGAAAAAAGATTTTTACAGAGTATCGTGCCTGTTCGTGTTTTGAAGTTCCTTGTTACACCTGATACTGCATGTACATATATATACAAAGAATGTAACCTGGGAGGGGTAAAACCCTAGTAGGGAACCACCTCCAGGCCGATTTACACTCACCTGCGACAACTTAGGAGGTTGTGTGCTTGATTTGCACAGTGCAACTCAAGTTGTAAGCATGTTGTATGGGGCCATCTGATGCAAATGACCAATATTTTTCAATTGATGTTTTTTATCACTTGAAAGTAATTACTTTCAATTACTGTCGATGCAATGGAAGTGTTGATAAAATATTGCATGAATTCATTTCCTCAAGTTGATCAATTCATACGAATT